CTCTCTCTCTCTCTCTCTCTCTCTCTCTCTCTCTCTCTCTCTCGCCGTATTAGGGGGATGATCTCGGCTTCTCCATTCCTGGCCCAGGGCCCAGCTTCTTCCCTGGGGAGAAGGACCAGAGTTCTTCCTCTTGGAGGAGGGGCCGGGGAGGAAGAGGGTTGCAAATGCACACTCGGCACCTTGGTCCCTGGAGTCCCCATCCCGAGGTGCCTTCCTCTTCTGGGGTCTCCATATGCCTGTTCTGAGCCCTTATTTGGCGATGGGGAATTCTGGAGCCAAGATCCAGCCCTGAACGACTCCAGGGGAGACTGAGGCAGGAGGCTTATCATAGGCACCCCGGGGGGGAGACCCAAGGATGCTGCAGCTGCCCGGTCCGGCGGCTGGGAGCAGGTACTAGACCTGGATGCCTGGCAGTGGACTGGGCTGACCTCGGCGCCCCCAGCTGAGCCCTATGAGGGGCCAGGCACCTAGCAGGGCTCAGCGAACACTCAGAAACCCACGAAGGAGGCTGTGGGCGCTGCTTCCTGCACCCTCCTCCAGGCAGCCGGCATTGATCTACTCAGTGTCAGGTGCTCAGGGCACAGAGACACAGAAAGAAACAAGATGGGAGGACAGGAAGCGGACGGCAGTAGCCGTTGCTCAGTGCCGACCATGTGCCAGGCATCCACACCGGCTCCGTCAGCCAGGTGGGCACCGCTCAGCCATAAAGCCGTCAGCCTTCTTAGGGGATGTTTTTAGCGCTATCATCACCGTCGGTATTATCAGAAGCAGCACGTGTGCCTGGGCCGGGAGTCAGACGGCCCAGGTTCGAGGCCCACCTGTGCCACTCGGAGGCTCTGCGACCTTGGGCAGCCCGTTCCACCGGCCCCTGCCTCAGTTTCCCCATGTAAGCACCAGGGGTCATAATCATCTTGAGAATTAAACGGGCTGATCCTCGTGCAGGCCTGGTACCTGGTCCTCAAGTGCCGGCGATTCTTGAGGTCATTTCACGTTTGGGTAAATAAAGGTGGTGGGGGTCCTGCCCTGCCAGGGTTGGGGGGGGGCGGGAACAGCATTCACCCCGTGCCCCACACAGGCCAGCCACATGCCGCCTGTTCTGTAGGGCTGTTGAGCCCCATTTTCAGATGTGGAACCTGGGGGGCTCGGAGGAGTTCATTGACTTGCCCAGGTCAGCCAGAGAAGGGGAGACTGATGCAGGGTCCCACCCCAGGGCCATGGCCTCTCTGCTGAGACTCGCAGAGCCTCTGGCGAGGCGGCCTCATCCACGGGAGGAGGAAGGAACGTCTTCGTCAGAAGCTTCTCTGGTGACGCGCGGACTGAGGCAGCCCCCAAGCTGCCACTTCAAGAGCAGTATCGGAGGTCGCGCATCAGGGACGCTGCATCTCAGAGCAGTGCCTGCCTCCGTGGTCCCTGCAGACCCACACTCCATCCATCCCCATCCCCGGAAACGCCATCTCCTTGCTGCCTGGCAGGGCCAGGCCCAAACTGCATCACCACTCGGGATGGCATGGTGGTGCCCCTGCCTCGGAGCCCACAGTCACTGAGTTATGGACCCGGCCTGGATCCGGGGGTGGGGAGGTGCGGTCCGAGGGGATGAAGCGCAGCCGCTTTCAGTTAATTTCACGGAGAAGCTGGCTTTCCCTTCGTTTAGAGCACAATGACCTCGGACTGCAAAGTTTTCTGCTAAAATCCCACGGACTCGGCCTCCCCTGGCGCCCGCACCTCCGTGGCTCATTGCCTCCCGGAAAGTGGTGACAAGGTGCCCTGCTTTTCTGCTCATAATGTCTCCCTTGCTCACTTGACACGCTCTGGTTTTCTCCCGAGCTTAGGGAATGTTTCACCTCGGCCCTCGTCGCACCCCTGCCGGCTCCCAGGCGGCAGGAGGGCAACTCCGGGCTGTGCTCCCCCTTCCTGCCGCCCTCCCCTGCCTCTCCCTCCACCTGACTTTCTTTTTGCCCCAGCTCCGGGTCTACCTCCTGGTGAATCACATCTCTATTATTGTGCTACGGTTCCCCCGGGCTGGAACCTACGCCCACCGCAGGCATCTTGTCTCTGGTGTTCAGGGCACATAGTAGGTGCTCAGCTAATGCTGTCTGATGGACACAGCAGCAACAGAGCTGGAGTCAGCCCTGACACATCACCCTAACCCTCAGGCTGCGTGCTTTATTGCTAGAGCCCCCCTAGGCGTGCAGTGGAGCTAAAGGAGAAAAGGGGGGTGGCCTGGGGTGCTGCAGGTACTACCCAGGATCCTCACTGCAGCTTCAGGGAGAGGGGTCCCCAAGGCACGGTGTCATCCCAGCTGCCTCGACGCTTGTGTGCGTCATCGTCACTGTTACGGGTCCAGGGGAGAAGCAGGGGCTCCAGGTCAGACACATCTGGCTTTGAATCGCAGCTTGACTCCTCAAGACCTGTCTGAGCCTCGGTTTCCTCATATGTAAAATGGGGACAATCTCAGCCTCACCTCACAGGGAGGTCTCAGGACCAGATGAGGTTCTGGCTGCCCTCTCAGGACCCCGTTGTCCCTGCCTCACTCCCTCTGGTGTGTCCCACCTCCCCACCCCCCGAGAGGGTCTCCGCTCCTAACCTGGCCCCCAAGGCCCTCCGCAGCCTATCTCCCTCTCTCTGAAGCCTCGGGCTGCTGCTCACCTCCCTCTAAGATGCATGCACGGGAGCAGGTCGAGCGCTGGGAACCACGGTTACACTTACAGTTTAGACGCCCTCCCCCCCGCCGATCATTATTTCCCTTGGTTCTTGGAATTCCCACCCTGGGAACTGAGCTGCCCAGCTTTACCATCCCCTTTTACAGATGAGCAAACACAGGCCCAGAGAGGCTAAGTGACTTGCCCACGGCCACACAGTAAGTCCATGGACTTAAGCCAGGGTCTCCCTAGTCCACAGTCTCTCGGAACTAAGTATGACCCTGAGCCAACTGCCACAGCCCCTGCCAACCTCAGAGCCTCACACCCCACAGCAAGGTAGGACTACAGGGGCTTCTATCTTCCCCACCAAGGAAAGCTGTGCAGTCT